AAAGATCTCCCCACCAGGTCCTCAGAGTCTAGTCCAGAAGAAGGCACAAAGGGAACTTGCCAGCAGCCCAACTGGCACAAAGCTGATCCTCAAACTTGCTGCCCCATCAGTGTTGCACAAGTCAGAGTAACAGCAGAGGACAGGACGTGTCATGCCAATGCCATCCACATCAGAGGGGACACAGGCAGAGGAGCACATCTTGGTGACAGTTGCTACTCCTGTGAAGGGATAAACTACAACAAAGAAAGAAGGAACAGTTAGGGATGGGAGAAATGGAGAATTCTCTTTAACCCTAGTGGAACATTAGCTCCCTTCATAAAAAAAGTCTTAGCTTCAGTTCAAGTCAAGCTACAGTCTTAGCTTCCACAATAAGCTTCCTACCAGGAATACAGCAAACAGTGAGTGGCCACAGCAGTTTGCATCCTCTGTGTCCTGTCTGGCTCAGCTTTACCATGCAAAATGCCAATTAGGCACTTTGTCTGTCTCTCCTTGGACTCTATTCACTATGAGCAGGACTAGGAGGGTGATTGTCCCTCTATACTAGGCACTGGTGAGGTCACATCTTGAGTACTGTGTCCAGTTCTGGGTCTCTCACTGCAAGAAGGACATGACATGCTGGACATGTCCACAGAAAGGCAACAAAGCTGGGGAAGGGTCTGGAACACAAGTCCTGTGAGGAGAGGCTGAGGGGGCTGGGGGTGTTTAGTCTGGAGAAGAGGAGGCTCAGGGGTGACCTTAGCACCCTCTACAACTCCCTGAAAGAAGGTTGTTTCCAGGGGGATTTGGCCTTTTCTCCCAGGCAGCCTAGTGACAGGACAAGAGGACATGGTCTCAAGACAGACTTGAGGGCAATGTTTGCTAGAAAGAAGTACAACAGCTTGTTGAAAAAGTTCAGGTATTTCACAGTGGGATGAAAAGTGGTGGAGTCACCACCTGTGGAGGTGTTTAAGGCAAGACTGGATGTGGCACTTAGTGCCATGGTCTAGTTGCCATGGTGGTGTTAGGTCATAGATTGGACTTGATGATCTCAGAGGTCTTTTCCAACCTAATTGATCCTGTGATCTCCTGACTCTCACATATGTGACCAGACATTTATCAGCAGGACTATGCAAAAGAGAGAACCTCCATCTTCATAACCTCCAGGTTTCAACCTGTAGGGTTACCAGTGAGACTGACAATGCCTCTATGAGAACAACAGAGAGCTTCAGGGCATGTCTCTCACCTTCAGATGACCAGAAGTTGGTGTCATAGAATTATAGACTTTTTTGGGCTTGAAGGAGCCTTAAAGATCATCCAGTCCCTCCAGTCCCACCCCTGCCATGGACAGGGACACCTTCCACTAGCCCAGGTTGCTCCAAGCCCCATCCAACCTGGCCTGAAACACTTCCAGGGATGGGGCAGCTACAGCTGCTCTGGACAACCTGTGCCAGTGTCTCACCACCCTCACAGCCAAGAATTTCTTCCCAATATCCCATCTAACCATGCCCCCTTTAAATTTAAAGCCAGTCCACCTTGTCCTATCACTACACAACTTTTTAAAGAATGATCTGATTTCTACCCATGCTCCACACTGAGCATTAACCAGGAGTTTGCATTCCCTATATTTTCACCCACATGAAAAGCACTTCCAGCAACAGCAGGAGACTCCTCTGTGCCCCATGGGATCTCTCTTCCAGGCTCACCCATTGAAATGAAATGAAACACCAGCAGTTTCACTGGAGAAACACTGATTCCTCTTAAAAGTCTGGAGCAAGAAGTAATTGTCCTTACCTTCCTCCAGGGAATACATTGTAGTCTTGCACATGTTCTCAGTCTCTGTGCAGTTCTCAATGCTCAGGCACTTCTCAACTGGAGTAGTGTCACGGCAGGTGTAGCATTGCAAGGTGTGTGCTGTGAGCAGGGAAAACAGGAGGTTGGATTTAGTGTGGCCAACCACATCCTGCCTGTGCCCTTCCTCCCCTCTGGAAAGGGTATCTTTCCCAAATATTTGTGCTGACAACAGGAATGGAGTAGTAAAGTGGTTTTGTGTCAGTAGAGGTGAGGAATAGTGATTTGATAGTCAAACACAGGCTCACAGGTGGGTAAGACCTCCTGTAGCAAAAGAGACACACACACACAAAGAAGACCCCAAGATCCAGGATAAACCTTTTAACTGGTTTACCTCAACTCTGTTTTACTCTATGTCTACTTCTCTCCTTGACTTGGCATTAGCTGAGCATCAGAAAGACATCACAGACTCACAAACTCACAGCAGCACAGAATGGTGGAGGTTGAAAGGGACCTCTGGACTCATCTAGTCCAATCCCCTTGCTCAGGCAGGACAACCTAAATCCTCTTGTCCCAGAACTGTGTCCAGATGTGGATTTAACAATCTCCAAGGATGGAGACACTCCAGCCTCTTTGGGCAACCTGTGTCAGTGCTCAGCCACCCTCACAGTCACAAAGCATTTCCTGATGTTCAGGGGAACCTCCTGTGTTTCAGTTTGTGTCCATTGCCTCTAGTCCTGGCACTGGGATCCACTGGAAAGAGCCTCATTGCCCCCTCCCTTCAGGTTTTTATGGACATCAATAAGATTCTCCCTTTGAGCTTTCTCTTCTCCAGGCTGGACATTCCCAGCTTTTCCTCAGAGGAGAGATGCTTATCCCTGTGGCTCTTCATTGGACTCTCTCCAGTATGACATGTGTCTTTTATACTGGGGAGCCCAGAACTGGGCACAGGACTCCAGGTGTAGCCTCACCAGTGTTGAGTAGAGGGGAAGGATCACCTGCATCAACTTACAGGCAAAACTTCATCTAATGCAACGCAGGATGTTATGAGGTTCATGTCAACCCATTTCTCTGACCTCTTAAGGTCCCTCTGGATGAAAACATGACCCTCTGGTGTATCAACCTCTCCTCCCAGTTTGGTGTCATCCACAAACTTGCTGAGAGTGAACTCTGTCCCATCATCCAGATCATCAATAATGATGTTAAAACAAGACTGAACCTAGTAATGATGTGACTGATCTACTGAGCCATGGGAAGAAATTTTGCCCAATCCTCCCATTGTGCTGAGATTTTGGGTTCATGTGGAGACTGTAGAAAATGCTTTAAAGATCCCAGTTTGGTGTCATCCACAAACTTGCTGAGAGTGAACTCTGTCCCATCATCCAGATCATCAATAATGATGTTAAAACAAGACTGAACCTAGTAATGATGTGACTGATCTACTGAGCCATGGGAAGAAATTTTGCCCAATCCTCCCATTGTGCTGAGATTTTGGGTTCATGTGGAGACTGTAGAAAATGCTTTAAAGAAATGACAGAATCATAGAATGGTTTGGGTTGGAACTTAAAGATCAGATCAATCTAGTTTCACCCCCTGCCATGGGCAGGGACACCTTCCACTTGTCCAGGTTGTTCCAAGCCCCATCCAACCTGGCCTGGAAGACTTCCAGGGATGGGGAACCACAGCTGCTCTGGGTAAACTGTACCAGGCAGAGACCATGGAAACAATCTTTGGCACCAAATTCAGTAGCTCACCCTGCCCCATCCCTCCCCAGCTTATCGATGTTCCTCATCACCTCCCTGTTGAGCTGCAAAGGCCCTTGCAAGCTGCAGGTGCCTCTCAGCTCTAAGTCATGCAGAACAACCACAGCCCAAGTCTTTTAGTGCCTAAAGTATTCTGAGATGGGGAAATTTTAGAGGAAAACCCCTGAAGAGCTCAGATTGTTGTGACATGGAGCTAAAGATATTCAAGCTAAAGATATCCAAGCTGAAGATATCCAGTCAAAATAGTGTCTGGTGTTTCCTGCCAACAAATAATCCATTTTTGGACCAGATTTTCAGGGCATTTTTCTCTCTGCAGGTTTCTCTGAGGAACACAACACTTGATTTAGATCCTCTACTGTAGGTCTTGTCTTCTATCCCCTTGTATACTCAGATGCCTATGTCTCTTAGACACATAGCAATGCATTTTGGTGCTGTCTCTTTGGTCTGGAGGCAGTTGTCACCCTCTGAATGTGAATTTGCTGCTGAAATTCCTCTAGACCTCACTGAAAAATTACTCATTTCATCTCAGAACACCTAAAATGGGATGTCATAGAATCATAGAATCAACCT